TAAACCCTCCTAAACTGCCCAAACCAGTGATCAACGAAACCATCTCCCTGGTGGTCTCCCGCAAGCTGATCACCCAACTGAATGACCGCATCCAGTCACTGGAGAACGAGAACCTCAAGGTGGAGCTGTACAAGGTGGTCCTGGAGCGCATCCAACCGCGCACCAGCTCCCTCGAGGACCAGGTCGTCTTCATTCGCCAGCACCTGGCGGAGATCTACGAGGCGCGGGCGCAGTACCGCGAAGCGGCCACCATCCTCGTCGGTCTCCCACTTCTCAGCGGAAGTGGAAGCGGCGGCTCCAAGGACAGCTCCTCCTCTTCAAACGGCTCCTCTGGAGGGCCCTCGAACACCGCCGAGTACCGCCTGAACGCCTTCCTCAAGGTGGCCGAGCTGTACCTCCTCGACAATGACGTCGTCAACGCCGACAACTACACTAACCGCGCCTCACTGCTCAGCCAGGAGGTGGGCAAGGACTCGATGAAGATCGCCTACAAGATGCGCTACGCCAAGGTACTGGACTTTAAGCGGAAGTACATCGAGGCGGCCGCCCGCTACAGCGAGCTCAGCTTCAAGGAGAGCGGCGTCACCGAGGAGGAGCGCGTCGGCTTCCTCAACGACGCCATTCTCTGCACCATTTTGGCCAGCGCCGGCCAACAGCGCTCCCGCATGCTGGCCACCCTCTACAAGGACGAGCGCTGTCAGACGCTGCCCACCTATCCCATCCTCGAGAAGATGTACCTCGACCGCATCATTAAGGCCGCCGACCACCAGCTCTGCGCCCGCCTCATCAAGCCCCACCAGGAGGGCGTCCACGCCGACGGCTCCAGCACCTTCCTCGAACGGGCCATCATCGAGCACAACCTCCTCTCCGCCTCGAAGCTCTACTCGAACATTCACTTTGATGAGCTCAGTCGGCTGCTGGAGCTGCCGCCGGGCAGCGGCAAGGCGGAGAAGATCGCCTCGGCGATGATCACCGAAGACCGGATGGTGGGGACGATTGACCAGATTGCCGGCGTCATTAGCTTTGAGCGGAAGAACGCCCTGGTCGGCTTTGACCGGGCGATTGGCAGCCTCTGCGCCCAGGTGAACGGCATAGTCGAGGCGATTACTGTGGCGGCGCCGGAGTGGACGGAGGCGAAGATGAGAGAGCTGACGCCGCAGTTGAGCAACTGAAGACGGTGGCTTTGAAGGTGAAGGCGATGGTGGTAATTTCTGAATTCCTATTTCTATTTTATATGTACACTTTAATCCTTCCTCCTTTTTCCTCTTGTGTAAAAAGATTAAATGGCTCCAAAGNAGGCGATGGTGGTAATTTCTGAATTCCTATTTCTATTTTATATGTACACTTTAATCCTTCCTCCTTTTTCCTCTTGTGTAAAAAGATTAAATGGCTCCAAAGATGTGAGGTCTTACCATTGTCATTTCTGTTTATACATTTCAGGTAGATTGAACAAGAGCTAAGAAATTGAGAAAAGGGGATATTGCCTAAAAGTGATCAGAATAACTGGGGGTCCACACAGAAGGTGATCTAGAAGTTGGTGTACACCCGATTGACGCCCTCCAGCTCGCCGATCTGCCCCAGCGCCTCTGCCACCGTGTTGAAGGTCTCCTCGGTGAGCTCGGTGCGCACGTAGGGCAGCAGCTCGACGCCGTTCTCCACCACCACGTACCGGTCGGCGCAGTTCGCCTCGATGAAGGCCTTCACCTTGGTGTAGCTGGTCGGCTCGCCGATGAACAGCAGCACCGTCTCGTCGTCGTCCGCCTGACGGACCTCCTCGGCGTCCGCCTCGATGGCCACCTCCTCCGCCGCCTCCTGGTCCGCCTCAGTGAGCGGCGTTCCGGCGGTATTTCGAACCCGGACGACGCCCTTCTCGCTGAACTGCGACAGCGCCCGGCCCTCGTTGGCGAAACCGAAGCCGACGTACTTCTTCAGCACCTTGCGGACCTCGTTCTTGAAGTAGTTGCGGTTGTCCACCTCGGCGTCGATGACCAGCAGCGAATTTTCCGGGCCGATGATCTCCAGCTTCACCTCGACGTAGCGCTTCTCCACCGCCCGCTTCACCGCCTTGTCGATGGTGGTGTTGGGCATGTTCGCCTTCCGGCACATGTCGAGGACGTCGGCAAAGTCCTTGTTCAGGTGCGGATCAGAGCCGCCCTGCTTGCTGACCGCCGACTTGATCCGGCTGATCAGCCGATTGTACAGCTGGCTCTTGGCCTGGTCCTTCGCCATCTTCGTGTGCTTGATGTTCTGCCACTTTGAGTGGCCAGCGGAGAAAGCGGCCGAGAGGTGGAGTGGTCGAGTCTGAGAGGTGATCATTTGTTGGGGAGTTTGTGGTAAGAGAAATAGAATCGTTTTAGTGGAATTGTGAAATGAGCAGGAGAAAGGCCGGCAACTGGGAAAGGCAGCCGCCGCTGAGGAAGCTG